TGATAGACAATCTGTCTGTTGTTCTTTTTTATGGCTTTCCAAAGGGAATATTTTGTATCACATGAAGCACTTAGGTTTTGAAGGTATAGCGACGTGCGATTATTGTTATACTTTAAAAGAAGGGCTTTAACGAGTTTACACAGTTTGTTTAAGCGAGTTTTATCCGCAGGGAATCTCGACTGTTGCCAATGTTTTCTCATCCTACGCTTTTCTTTAATCAGGTATCTAATGTTAAATGGATAATCTAGCTTAACACTTTTAGAAATTGGTGGAGTTGATTCCCATGCAGACATTTGGACACAAGAGTTGAAATGCTCTACTGCTTCAGTTACGTCAGATTCAGTTTTTAACCTGACTTCGGTATTTAGACCAATTGAAATTAGTTGACGGTAACTATTCCAGTCAGTGTTTTTATTATGAAGAATACATTTTTCCATAATTTCACAGCAGTCATTGAGAGTGATTATTATTGGCGAGTGGTCAGATGACAAGTCGAAATTGGACTTACAGGTAGTTGTTTCAATACGTACCCCCTTTGATACCGCAAAATCAATTAAGTCAGGTATTTTTCTTCTATCTGTTGGCCAATATGTGGGTTCACCTGTTGAGATTGTGTGGAGGTTGAGTACAATTATTGCTTCGAAGAGTTGACGTCCTTTTGGAGATATTAGGCGGGAACCCCATTTTAAGTGTTTAGCATTAAAATCTCCGCCTACTAGGAACCTAGGTCCAAGCAGCTGAAAAAATGATATGTACATATCTTTCGTGATACTGTGGCGCGGTGGGCTGTAGAGTGATGAGAAAGTCATGTCGCCTTCTTTAGTTTGTACTACAATGTTTGTTGCCTGGATTTCATTCTTGCAATATGGTTTTACTTCATAATGTTTTATCGAGTTCCTTATGAGGACCGCAGAGCCACCATTTCCTTTACCACTGGGATGCATTGTGTGATAAAGTTCGTAGTTCGGAATTTTAAAGAAACTACGCGTCGTGAAATGGGTTTCTGATATTAGCATTATGTCGACCTGGTTTAATTTTAAAAATGCTTTTATTTCGATAGCATGTTTTGATAGACCATTAGCGTTCCATATGACTACTACTAAATCAAGAATTTTGTTTAGTCGTCAAGTTGATCAGTAAATTTGTCATTACTACGATTTGTTGCATCATTTGCTTCAACAGTGATGTCATCTCACGGAATTCTTCCACAAAATTATTTGGAATTGGTGAAAGCTTCTCCTCTGTTTCGCTACTGGTGTTTGACTTCACTATTTGTGCGAATGTTTCAGGTGAAAGAGCTGTATGGTTAGCCAAAAATTCAATTAATTAAAATAATATAAAATGAATTTTTGTTGTTGTATTTCACTACTTTTCGAAAAAAAACTCTTTATGAAATTCAATTAATTTAAATATAATTTTTTGGTTTTAAGCAATAATATCAAGTTCTCTGCTTAGTTATTATTAACACACTATTAGTAGTGTGCTATTAGTACATTTTATATTATATTAGTTTTTATAAGTAGTTATTAGTAACTAACGTTGGTTTATAACTAACATATAGTTTAACTTTGTTATTTGAGAAAACAAACTCACCTTTGAGTTTATAAAGGCTTCTATGCAGACTTAATAGGTGTATCTGATTGTAAAAAAAATGAAGTTATTTTAACTATTTAAAGTCTCGATAAACACGTCTTGTATTTCATATAACCTTAATATATGAGGGCTAATTATTATTATGATAACGGTCTTATACGATCTGGTATACGTATAATGTGGTAATAGTAGACAACAACAAAACTCATTTCGAATTTGTGTATCTTGTTAGTGGCATTTTATAGTGTAACCTTGTTACTTGATTCTTCGAGCTTGTTTCTCCAGATCGTGAATATATCTAATTTTAATACAGCAAGTGCAACACTTAGAAAAATAATTCTAATTAAATCTCAGATCAAAATATTCTTCCTCGACGCATTATGTTGGCTCCACTATACCATATGAAGGTTTTCATAACTTCTTTACCACATGAACTAAAATTTTTAAATAACAAAATTATTTGGTCAATTTAACTAATATGTGATTATCTCAACTTTATCTCTTGCTTAAAATTTATCTCACGCATACTTGCATTTGGAATATCAGCCTTCGTTTTTAACGAAATTAAGTCCATTTTCCTTAATTTCGTTCTAACCTGAAAACTGAATTTTGTATGGAAAAAACAACTTAATTTCGTTGAAATGAAGATGAAATTAAAATTTTTGCGATAATAAATAAAATTATTTTAATTAAACATAGGTAACATATTAAATAATAATAGAGTTGTAGTAGGTGTTGCCATATAATTTCAAATCGATTCGATTTAACAGATATTTTTAAAGATGACAAGTAAATTATATTTTGAAAAGTTTATTTTTAATTTTATTAAATTTTTTTTTGAAAATGTAATAAAAAAATTTTTATTTCTAACAAATAATGTTTATATTAAATAATTTTAAAAATGATAATTATTTGAGGCAATGTTTCTATTTGGCTATTAAAATTCATAAATAATTCCATAAAATTAAATTCACCATGGAGACCTGCAATCCTCACCTCATGAAGCAGTTCATGAAATACTTGGAATCTTGCAAAAATCCGGACGATTTGTTTTTAGACAATACGAGAAACCGGTTACTTGCACGTTTATGGATGGAGAAACTATGTGGGTATTATTGTGAACATGTTGAGGACCAACTCCTTCGTAATAAGTACATGTGGAATTTTGTACAATGTGTTAACAAGGAAACACTGTCGGGTCCATTTTTGGTAAAACCTCCCGAAGGCAAATTATCCCGTGATTATTTTGAACATATGAAAAATGAGAATGATTTTAATAAAGAACTGCGGAGTGAAGGTAAGAATGCAACACATTTTAAACGGTAGTATTATTACATAAACTATGTTAAATTTTTTAATAGGAAGTAGTTCCGCATTTACCCGTGAATCATCACAACAAAATGTTATTGCTGCTTTACATGAATTGGATATGAAGACTCTTGAGAAATCGATAAAACAACATATAGTAAAAAAAATTAATAAAATAAGTGAAGATCCAGAATGGACAACTAATATAATTAATCTGCTTGGAGCTATATCGGCCGAATTAAAAGGAGAAAGTACTCAACGGAATAAGGAACATTTGGAGAATGAATTGGAAAGATATAGAAATTTTATAAAGGACTATCCCGATGTAGAAGCGCAATATAACAAACAGAGTGATGTTTCACGACGTTCATTTCTTTTAGTTCATTTTCAAAAGGATTTAGTTAGGTTGCTATATCATGACGATTGAAAGTGCATATATGTATTAGAAAAAAAATGTAAGCTCTTCTTTGGTGAATGCAGAATATTTAATTTAATTCAAAAATTAATTAAAATTTATAACTTACAAAATAAAAAGATTATGAAAAGATTAAGCATAATTTATATTTATTGACGAATCGTCATTCTCCGGTTTTTTATATTGTTTGCAAGTGCTAAATCTAGGCTGATATGGTGAATTTAATTAGAGCTCTCCCAACGTTTTAATGACACATTCTTATAACCAACAGTTTGATTGGTGATTTATATAGATAACTCGGTTAAATTAAATACAGAGTCCATATCAATAGAAGCTCTGTAGATTGTTCATGTTTAGTTCCACTCGTTCCCTGAGATTAGTGAAGCTCGGTTTAGCTAGGATGACTGTTCTCTGTTTTCTGAAGAGCAAGACAAGAAAAATGCCTGCAAGAGAGAATGAAAAATAGGCTTGTTTTATTTTTAGCTGGTTGCATCTGGGACAGCAAGAATCATGAAAGAGGTTTTGTGACTTTGGTCACCGGTTTAAAGTATTGATTATATGAGGTACGCTTAAGTTTATATCTTAGACATACATAACTAATATATAGAGAGAATTAAAACAAGATCCTTTTTGTTCTGGCTGGTTGAAGGTGAGACAGTACTATAATTATATTGAGAGACTCACACAGTTTAATATACTGTTAATACGAGTTATACTAGGACTGCATCTTGGACATAATATTCTACTCGTCTTATATCTATTTTTTTATATATTTATCTATTTTGCTATTAAAAAACATTTAATTTTAATTGCTCTTTTAGTTATATTCAGTGTTTAGAAGATCGATTTTGTAAGAGCTCTTGTTTTTTCTTATATTTCTTATCGTCATCGCATCTACCATAATTTGACATTCATGAGTTCTAAGCCTGGCACTTGCAGTCCAAACAAATTACATGTGGACCATAAACTAATTTAAAAAAACTACGACTATTTCCTAAGACCACTGTGATGAGTACTTGGCAATACTTGAAACGGCGTAGTATGGTCAGACAAATTAAATTAACTACACTTTTGTCTCATAAAAATAGAGAATTTGAATAACAAGGATTACTAGGACAATATACCAGGTTTAACACAATCCAAATCACTTATTGGTACCTACAACAATAACAGATACCAGGATTGTATGAACCTATCAAAAGAAAAACTTAGAATCATCACAGTAATCCTAACATGGCAATGTAAACTAAAATATCTCCTTACGAGACTGGGTATACTAACTGTATATTCTGTGAAGAGAAGTAAGCCACACATGTGCTGTTAGAATGCCTTGCGCTAATGCACATATGGAATAGGCTCCTGGGAATGTATATTTTTACGGAACAGGCAATAAAACTCTGTAAAGTAGGTTCTATACTATTATTTTTATTTTTATTGACGCAATAGTGCTTAGAGATCTACTCTAAACCTGGAAGGGGGCGATGGACCCGACGGTCGCACTGTAACATCTCCTAACAATAATAAGAATAACTAAATTTTTTTTGTTGTCTTTTCATTTCAATTCGAACCCTTCTATCTTTTAAATAGTTTCTTTCCGTCATAAGACGTGCCACTTTCGGCAAGAAAAAAATAAAATTAAAACATTACTTATTTTTATTATATTATATTATTCAAATATAAATATAAAATTCAAATTTAAATATAAATGTATATAGAAATATAAATATTTTTGCTGTTGTAGTTCATTTTCATTGTCCTTCATCTATGACAAAATTTGAGTTGTGTTATGTCTGCTTTATCAATTCTACATAAGAAATGAGTTCTTGAGTTGTTTTTGCTTAGAGGAATTTAGCTGTAGTAAATGGTATTTTATTTATTAATTTATATTATGGCAGATGGTGTACAAATTATCTAGAATTCCAATTATGCATAGTTTTAATATTGAATTTGTATTGAATATAAAAAAAAGTATTTTATTAAAAAAAAGTATTCTATAGGAAAAGTTCTCGTATAGTATTGTGAGGATAACATTCTTTAGACTTTTGCCTTGTAAAAAAAAAATAATTTCATTATTATTGAATACGACATGTAATAAGTTCATTCACTATAATTTGGTAAACCACTAGAAGTTATATAAAATTATGAGCATAAAATTGATGTAGATAAGCTTTTGTATTAAAAAATGTGCTTACAAATGCCCAATGTTATTTGACAAGGGTCAACGTGGGCTTCAAAATTTTTCCGCAACGCATATCAATCCTTTTTATGTCAATTATTATTTATGCATAATTTAATTTTGATAAAAGTATTTGTAAAAATGCACTCCGATATTTTTGATTAATTAGTTTTATGTAATATCATAGTAAAACATGTTGACGGGCTGAAAAATATTGAACAATGTGGAAGAAATTATGGAATTATGATTAATTAAACCCGAATATGAATTCAAAGTGTTTATTTCGTTCCTTACGTATATTTAGTATATGTTTTAAACTATAAAGTTTTTGGTATAAATATTCTATTATAATTAGAATATTCTATTATATTATAAAAATCTATTATAATTCTATATACCAATTATACTAATTCTGTAATATTTTTTAAATATTTGCATAATAGATAGATGAACGGAAAGATGGATCGAGTGCTTCTTGATTAGCTAAGAGTGCAATTTTGAGAGGTTGGACATATTATAATCAGCCAGAAATCTTTGAGTAAATTAAAGGATGTGATACGTATAGGTTTAGGTCTGGATGTGGATAAGCCTGGATTTATCCAAACTGGAGTTCTGTTATTTTAAATTTATTGGAACAATTTCTGAATGCCAGTTGTGCAAAGTCAAAAGTATGTCAATTTTCATCTGTTACTGTAGGAACAGGTGTTGTTACGAAAAGTTCCATCGGAGATAAACCAAACTTTGTTAGCTCATCAGCGTACTTTTTTCTCTATATTTGCATGCCCAGTAATTCACATCAGAGTGACCTTGAAACTGATCCCAAATATTATCGAATATCCCCACATTTGAGAACTGTCCGAGACAAGTTGCAGGCAGCTAAAACAGTGTCGATAACTGCCTATGAGAATATGGATTACTGTTATTGAAAGTTTATGTAAGCAGTAAGCGAAGAGGCCCTTACACTATCTCAGTTAAATTTATACATAACATAAATTTCTATATAATATTTAAGTAAAATTGAGACGGAATGAGGGTCTATGGTGTTGTAGTTTAACCTGTTTTATCAATTCATATAATCAGTACATCATGTAGAATAAATTAAAATCAAATATATTTTCTTTCTTAAGTAATCTATTCCATGTGTATTTATCAGTATTTATCAGTATAAGCGGATAAATTATTTCTTATTTTTCAACTATAGAGATAAAGTTAAGATGATGATGATTGAGAATCATAAATTTTGCTCCCAGCTCTGCGGACTTTTAGCTATTACAAACATAACTCATTGCGTAAAGGGTCATTTTAAGTGTGACACATTGGTCTTTAATGGTCTGAAGCCAAAAATTTATTTGAAGAATAGAAATTAAATGGGTAATGCGCTGCATTTTATGATAAAATTCTATATAGACTATACTTTGTATAGTCTATGTATAGTTACACTTTGTATAGAGTGTAATGCTATAATATAAATAATGTAAATATATTTATATATATAAATATCTTCTTTTGATTTATTTCGAGCAGTTCCAGCTTCTCAAGCCTATCATTGTCGGTGTGCACCGGTATGGCCATGTTAATGTGTAGGTAGTGCTGTGATTATTTTTTTTAGTAAATATAATATCATTCGAATTTTTTTTGTTTTCCCGTTTTTGTTAAAATTGTTCATTGACATCCTTTTGTTCTCTTCTTGGATACATCTATGACGACTAAAAATATATTTGAATCATATTTTTGTACTTAGTATTCCTTAAACGTTATCTCATATGTCATATAATTACAAAAGAAAAACTAATGTAATATATTAGTAAATATAGTAAAACAATTGAATATTTACTATATTCTATAGGTATTATATCACAGATAATAGTGGTAGTATGTACAATATAGTTGCTCTTGTAGCATCTCAGAATATGTTAAAGAAATGCTAGATGTATATTGGTTGGTTAATATAGTAGAGACTAAATCCATCCCGCCGAATTTAGATAATTTAATGGGTCTTTCGTCTTCACCGATGAACAGTCTGATAAACTGTCAAAGAAATAACTGCCTTAGAACCTATATCTTTTAAACACCAAAGTCGGGCATTTACAAAGAAAATGTATTATGGTTTATTTTTCCTGTGGGTTTTCACAACTTTTGCAGTGAGGATTAGGGGGAATGCGCAGTTTCTCTGCATGGGTTTCTATACACTAATGACCAGAAAGAGCAGCAGGTATATCATAATACTTAAAGAATATTGTTTTGAATAAATAAACATAATAAATATAATGTTATTATGTAAACAAATAAAAAAACAAAAACAAAATATAAAGCAAATTTATTCATATTTACAGATAGTGTACTATATTCTTATAATAGTTTTAATTAAAACCAATGTCTTAACAGTTGAAGAATAGAGCATTAAACTGAATTTCTTTAATTTGATTGAATGTTAACACATTTCTTTTTTCTTTTTTGGGTCTCTATGCTTCAATTGGATATACAGGAATTGATGACGATGATAATGACATACATATAAGTATTATTATAATAGTATTATTTAAAATCTGTCAGTTTTATTGTTCCAGAATAAAAATTTAAACTAAATTTTTAAAATTCCATTAAACCTTTGTATGTGTATTTATGAAGAAAATATGCTATATATATGCATACCTGTTTTTTATTTAATAATTTTATAAGTTTTGTTCATTGAAGTTACTGTATGAGACAAAACGTGCTGTTCTAAAGTATTTTGTGGTATGTCCCCCAACTTTCTCTAGAACCTTTTTGTTTTGTTTTTTCAAGAATTATGGTGTCTTAGGTATGTGACTTAATATATTGTATAAACATAAAAAACTGATAACAAAATTAAGGAAAATAGCTGTTGGCAGTTATAAATTTTATAGAATTTCCAGATCAATCAAAACC